TATTTCCTGAAAAAATGGGTATTGGACTCTTAATGTCCCTTATGACTCCACAAATGTGGGGGAACCCACCCAAGGGGATGGGATGAGATAAGGGCCCTGCTCTACATGATTCTCTCCTACAACATCACTGCCATGAAAGCCCTGGGTGGTGCTTCTGCTCCCGAACTAGGGTTGGGCAGGGGCAGTCTCTCAGCCCTGAGGCTGGAAGCTGAGAACTGGCCAGAAGGCTGAGGTCAAGGATGGATGACTAAGAACAAGCCTCAGATCCAGAGAGAGGGACAGACGGGGAGGAACTGGGGCTGCTGCGTTTTATTTAAATCCCTGATAAGGATCAGGAAGCAGGCAACAGCCCAATGACACATTAATTAACTTTGCAGATGATACTGCATCAGGAAGGTGTTCCGTCCACCCATCTAAGTGAGAGAGACAAGAGGACCTGGGATGGGGTCAAGAGCCAGTCAGGAAATGACAACAATGACCAGCAGCTGCGGCTGGGAATGGACAGGACTTGTGTCCTCTGGGTGGACTGGAGGGAGGAGGTGGGGTTGAAAGGATCCATTTTCAGAATACAGATGTCCCATAGAGGGCTGGAGCTGGGAGCGAGTGCTGAGGACCGGAGACTGCCTTGGCTCTATTTGAATGGGTGTGCGGATCCCTGGTGGAGACAGAGCCTTCTTACTTGCATCTGTTTCTGAACGATGGGGAAAGGGGACAGGACACAGGACAAGGGAAATAAGCAATATGTATGGAGCACCCATCATGAGCCAGGCACCGTATACCCTGCGTCATTTGAACCCTACAATGCCATGTTAAGACCAGAGGGAACCCAGGTGTGGAGAGGCTAAGAAACCTGCCAGTGGTCACACCATAAGTGGCAGAGCCGAGATTCAGATGGAGATGGAGATGGTGATTCCAAAGCTGGCTCAGGGCCCCATGGGAAAAGCCAAGTTGCTGCTGGGTTATCAAACTGCCCCCCAATTTTCAGGACAGAAGCTTGAGGGAGGAATAAGTGCTCCAAAGGAGACTTTCTTTAGTGCCCTGGGGTCACACAGGCACTAGAAGTTTTCTGCCTTTCTGCTCAGATAGCTTGACCTTCCTAAGTGGGGAGGTTCTAGAAGGGGACAAGGTGGAATGGAAGACCATCAGGCACCTAGACAACCCAGAGGAGCAAAACACTAAGGAGTAGAAAGTGCTAGAGCTCTTGTAGCCCATGCTTGAGAAGAAGCCAAGGTTCCTGGGGGTCCAGTTCTGTTCTGGTCACTAATCTTTAGCCCTTTGATGGAGACAGGGACCTGATGCATGGGGGAGGGGTGTGTGTGTGGGAAGCCACCCCCTGGAAAGAGCCACCACAGAGAATACAGATTCTCAGACAAAGGTGACTTCCCTTCTGAAAGGTTGGGGTGTCCCCAGCCTTAGAGGTGTCAGCCATCTCTTTCCCCCCAGGAAGCCAAGAGGTGGAAGCATTCCTAAGACCATAACTAGGAACTCGGTGAGGAACTCAAACAGGAATTCAAGTCAGCTATTAGCTGGGAGAAAAGAGCAGCCTGTTTCTGGGTGGGTTATGATACCACTGAGAAGGCCCGAGGTGAAGGGCTGCAGACCCTGGGCAGACCTCACCAGGAAAGCCAGCCTGAAGGACTTGTGATCATGCTCCTTGCAAAATGATCAGGGCCCAGAGAACAATGGTGGGTAGTGATTGGATGGGACCGGTGGTGGAGTTGCAGAGGCCCTCAGGAACATTAGAGCCTTTCTGTTGAGTAGCCAGCACCATCTAGAATCTTGGGTTCTCTCATTCTTCTCGTTTGCAGCTCTGGGCCATGTTAGTGTCAGCTCCTTAGTAAGATTGCTCAGAAACCTTTCTTCTAGCCATCTGCCCATTTTGTTGGGAGGGAGGAAATACTGTTTTCACACCCAGGTCAGCGGGCCAGAGGAGCACTGTGCCCCTGGTGGCCGCAGAGGCAGAGGTAGGGACTGTCGCAGTTCCCCATGCCCGAGGAAGCAGCCGTAATGAGGATGGGGGATGAGGATCCTAGGCAAGTGAGTCAGGGTCTGGTCCCTTCCTGCCTGGGCATGGAGATAGGTCAGTGACTTTAGGGCAAGTTGGGAAAGCCTCATCACACTGCCCCCAACCCTGGTCCGCCTCTGTTCTTGCAGAGACTGTGAAAATGATCAGCTGTTGAAAATATGAGAGATGGGGTAGAAAGGAACCTTCAGGCAGAAAGAGTGAAGTTTCAAGAGTTGGGATGCTGGGAGAAGCTGACAAGGCCAGACATGTCCCTGGCCACTGTGGATGACTGATGGGGGCATGATAGAATTAGGATCACGACCTATATTGAAAACCCCATGGTACCTTTTAGAAAGTCATTTTCCCTAGTCATTAAGATTTTGTTGGTATGACTTCTAGTCTTTGGGACACTCACGGAGACCTTCTACTTTCCCTAGGCTTATTTATCCATGGCACCAGGGGAGCTGATCAAGGGCAAGAAAAGGCAGTTCACACCCCCTCATCCATGGCAGGCATATTCTGGATTAGTAAAAGGAGATCAGTAGCGACTGGCCATAAGCCATTACCTTGCTATCATCAGAATCCACCTTAATATTCCTTTTTATATCCTTGAGAAGAATACATAGACACACACACATCACTACTGCCACCACCATTTAAAAACATATGCCACTCCTTGCCTCTGCTTCTCATGAAGTATCTCCTCATTTGTATCCAGCCCTAGTTCACAGAGTACAATTTTGCAAAGACTCATCACCTTCCGCAAGCCACTCCCAAGGTGTGTGTGTGTGTGTGTGTGTGTGTGAGAGAGAGAGAGAGACAGAGGGAGAGAGAAAAATCCTTTTAGTTACCCCTAAACACCTTAGAAGTTGCTTTGTATGTAGCTGTGCCTCTACTTCTTCCATACTTCTATGCCTGATTTTGCTCCCAGCAAAGCTTCCATTTATTCCTTCTCATGATAGCTCCACCAACCCTTTCCTCTACCCATCTCCCTACTTCATCCCTAAGTTTGAGGGTTGAGTTTCCTCTCCCTATATTTACAAAACCCAGGCAGGTTGGGTTGCTGGTGTGATGCTATCTGGGACAGCCTTATCTAGCTACAAAGCATGAATCAGAGATTACACCACACAAGGGCTGGTGCCAGCCAGGCGGGCTGCCATATTGTCATCCAGTGGTTGAACCAGGTTGAGTTGAGTAATATTCACCAATGGGAAGTGAGTTTATTAATCATGAAGCATAGTACACTGTTGACGAAAGTGTAACTCTGAAGGCCTGATCTGATTGGGGAAGGTGCAGGTGGGGCTGGATGCTAACTATGAAGACACCCAGTGACGCTATCCTTCTCTGATAATATGCACTTGAAAAACACATAGAAATCTGGAAGCAAATACCTAATTTAGCAAAGAGGTGGATTATATACTCAATCATTAGGACTTTTCAGTCATCTTGGATTTGCTTTGTTAAAAAAGGATACTTCGTTGTGCCTATAGTTGCAGTCTGGAATTTCGAAAGTTTCATGAGGTGAGAGAAGGGAATTCAAGATGGCAGCCACTGACCTAGAATTGTGTGGGTGATAAAATGTAAGATTCCATACCGCATTCTCATTACTGGTCTTGAACTTCAAAAACATTCTTTTCTAAGGCCACAACCCACCACCTCCACCCAGGTCTGCCCTCAACTTTTTGGTAACTATAGCCAGCCAGAAATACCACCCACATTTTTCAGGGTGATGGGCCTGATTGGGGCAGCAAGAGTAGTTTCTGAGCAGGGACGCTATACTACGTTTCTGTCACTGGATGGTTGCTTCAGGTGTCAAGACACTGTCCCCTGAGTTGCAGTATGGTGCTACATTTACACAGTGCAGTATCAGACATGGAGCTCCTGCCCCTAAGCTTCACTGAGGCAGATGGTACGCAAAATACATGACAGAGAAGCCCAACTGAGTGTTTTAAAGGGCAATCAGGAAGAAAGGGAGAGAAAGGATAGATCTGCCCAAAGACCATTCTAGAACAAGCCTCATGAGGATAAAGGATTGTAAAGACTCACGGGAAATAAGGTGAGGGGAGCAGGGTGGAGATGGGGGACACTCGAAGAAAGTGGTGGATACACAATCTCTTTAAGAGAACCGGGAGAAAGCTCTAGGGTTGGCATAGGAACTCAGTTAAGAAAGGGTAAGATTCTGGGGAAGAAAACTCATAGAGTAGGGGAAGCATCACATCTATGGGAGATCGAAGTCATAAAATGTGAGCAGTTAATGCTATATAAAATATTCCTTGTAAGTTCTCCAAATCCCAAATGTTCTTTCTCCTCTCAGAAGCATGGGGTCCCTGGGGAGTTCATAAGAGCTGTGGTTTCAGCCAAGACCCTCTTTCCCAGGCAGCTACAAATAGTGAGGCCTGGACAGTCCCATCCAAGTAGGACTGAAGTTGCAGAATTTTAAAATCTGATTTTTTCCCAATTATCTGACCACAATAGAGCCTCCAATCTTTCTGGTTATCTTGCCAACCTTGAAGAACCCTCTCTCAAGTCTCCACCTGTTTTTCAGGCTTCAAAAGCTTTAGCAAGAGCACTACTCAGTGTTACTGTTCAGACTTTACTGGGTCCTGCTCTGGAGCACCCTGTTACCTCCAGAGGCATAGTTTATCAACTAGAAGACCCCCACTTCTCTACCCTCAAAACCCATTAGAAACCAGGGAGAAGGGTTCTAGAAGGTTTTGGTCAGTATTCCTGATTCCCATGAGTTTATTTCATCTGTTAGCCTCATCTCTCTGGCGGTTTGAGAGTCTCAGCAGTATGGAGGAAGAATCCTATTCTGTTAGAACCACAGTAAACACTCGACACTGGATTTGAAACACCAGAACCCGCGCAAAATTCTGACCAACTTCTAATAAGGCCAAATTCCATGTTTCACCTTGAGTTTTCAGAGCAAGAACAGCAAAACCTGGCATAAGAACCTATCAAACCAACAAGCAGCCAAAAACAAAACAAGACAAAAAACAGGCCAAACCAAAACTTTATACTATGAAAACAAGAAATAAAATAAGGAGATTTATAGGCCGGCTGATTGTCAGCAAACACAATATATTTACTGTATTAGCATTTGCTCACAGTGCAAATGGTACAACATTACACCATTTCAATATTTCGGTTTTTAAAAATGCTGTTTTCATTAACTATATTATATTGGCATAACAATGTGACAAAGGAGCAAATGAAATGTTGGTGAAGAATTTCACCTTTTCACAATATCAAGCATATTTTTTTAACCTTAGTATAAGGTACTATAAATCCAAGAAATAAAAACATCCACAAAATATATTACATCTGGTTTGTCTTTTTCTAAGTACTCAACTTTATACAAAAGTCTTTCAAAAAATATCATTCCCCATAGGTTTTCCTGTTTAAAACCTGATTTTTTTCTCTCAGTTCACATAAGTTAGAGTGCATTTTCTTTTGTTGTTGTTTTTTTTTTAAAACATGCAGACATATAAAAAATCTGGATAGCACAACCTTTTGGCAACAAAGTTATTTTTCTCTTAGTTTAAGCTTAAATGTCTGAGAACAGTTTTATTAAAACAAAGGAAAACTCAGATTATCATGCAGTGACATGCATAAACCAGAAGGAGCAAGGAAAAAATATTAAAGGATATTTGATTCCTCCTTCCAGCTTTGAAGTGACCAAAATTTTTGTTTTTAATAATCATCACATTATAAAAAGTATTCAGCAAAATACTGTCTCTGCAAAGAAAGATTTTACCCTTCAGCTGAAAAAATATGGGCCCTCCTGGCAAACTTCACCCTCTTCTCTCTCCTACAAAAAGTCCAAGTACCTGGAAATTCACAATCCCCCTGCTCTTTGATTTTTTTCCCTTTCACTAGACTCCTTTTAGTATTATTTATCCACCACCAAAGGAAACAAAAAACAAAAAACAAACCCCAAAAAAACAAAAAACAAAACAAAACAAAAACCCCCGATGCTTTTTTTCTTAAAAAAAAAAAAAAAAGTGGGAAACGCATAAAGTGACTTTAAAAACAGACATTCTGTAAACTCCAGACCTTTGTTCCTTCTCTCTGGGCAGCTTAGTGACCACAGGAGAAATAACGCTAATAGGGAACAGTACATTCAGTCAAGACTGTGCTGGAAGCTGTGTCAGAGCAACCTTCCCTACTACTCCACTTTGAAAGAGTCACCCCTGTGTAGGGGAAGCGCTAGGGAGGAGGGGGTGCCTGAGAAGAGGTGAGGTAGGGCGGGGAGAAGGTGAGACTGGGCTAAGGGGGGGAAAAGATATGCCTCATTCAGAAACATGGATTAATGCAAAAATACCCATATCTTTAAGGAAAATTTGGACAGAGATGTGTGTATATGCAGGTATACCTACATACATACATATGTGTATATATACATACACATACCTATGTAGATATAATCTCATCAGTTAAATTTTTCATAAAAAATAAATCATTTAAAGCTTATATACCAACAAATTCTCTTTATCCCGGTGCACTGCACTGGATAGCCAAGTACCTTAGAAATTTTATTTTACTAGGAGTACATATTGTGTGTGTGTGTTATATATACATATGCATGTATGCGTGTATATACACATACATGCATACACACACACGCACACACACACACCACATAGATTTTAATTCTACCTGTTGTGTTGGCCATGACAAAGGATGAAAAATGAGCCTGTTTTCCCATCCATGGCAGGGAAGGAGAAATGGGTATGTGCGAGCAAAAACAGAAAGATGGTGAAATGAGGTGGCTGGTTGAGGCCTGCCTTTCTGGAAGAAGATTTTGAAAGAGATGGGAAAAGGCTTAGAGCGAAGGGAGAGGAGGGGGGAGAAAGGGCCGAGGGTGAACTCAGGAACAGAGATTTTGAAAAGTGGGGCTGAGGAAATAGATCTGTTACAAGGCAGGTTTAGTGATGGCTGCTCCTTCTCCCCGCAGATCAAACTGCCCTGAGGCCTAAGAGGGAAGCGCTCGGAAAAGGAGGGGTGCTGAGGGGCCGAACCCTACACGGCGGTAGCAGCCCCGCGGCGGCGGCATCCGAGGCATTTCTGTAAGAAACATGATTTCCGAGCAGATGGAAGACCGTCTCATCCGGCCACGTGCAGGCCCCCAACCTGGGACATTCCCCCAGCGGCCTGGGGACCCGATGTGGGGAAGAGTTTGGGGTGGACACAGCCCAGTTCAGCTCAAGAGTCTCACACACCCACACACACGCGTGCGCGCGCGCGCACACACCCACACACACCCACACACATAACACTCACGCGAGCACGCACACTCGCGCGCATCCCCGCACGCAGGCGCGCGTGCGTGCGGCGGGCAGCAAGCTCTGCGCTTTGGTGCGCTCCTTACCCCCTCCCCCTCTCGGGTCTTCGAGGGGGAACCGAGGGAGCCGTGGGGGGAGCCGTGAGGTGCTTGGGTCGGGCGAGGCTTGGGCGGGCCCCGCCTTCAGTCCCCCGCAGGTCCTTGGCGCGGCCCAGCGGCCCCTGGATCAAGACGATCCGAACTGAACAAAGCGGGCTAGACGCCACCTTTCCGCCCCCACGCCTTGGTTAAGGGGGGGCAGCGAAGGGAGGGCGCCTCCTGCCCTGGCCCCCGACCGTTGGCCGGTGTGAAAGGGTGGAAACGGGGGACATCGAAGGGGAACAAGGGACCTTACGTCCATGGAGAGGCCAGGGCGCGGCCCCTGCGCCTCCGTAGCTAGCTTTCCCGCTGCTTTCAGGCGAGCAGCTGGGAGACACTGGAGGGGAAAAGTGGGGATCTGGGGGCCCGAGCCTCAGGCGCAGGTGGTGACCACAGGGGCCAGGGATACGGGGGGCGCCGAGGACGCAGAGGGCGCACCCCCCTTCTCCGCCTTCTTCTCCTTTTGCTTGAGGTGGATCTTGGCGTGGCGCTTGCGCTCGTCGCTGCGCGCAAACTTGCGCCCGCAGAACTCGCAGGCAAAGGGCTTCTCGCCCGTATGCGTGCGGATGTGAGTGGTAAGGTGGTCGCTGCGACTGAAGCTCCGCATGCAGATCCGGCACTGGAAGGGCTTGTGGCCCGTGTGGATGCGCAGGTGCCGGGTCAGCTCGTCCGAGCGACTGAAACGGCGGTCGCAGCCCTCCGCCGGGCACGCGTGGGGCCGCTCGTGGAGCGGGGTCTTGCTGGGCCGGTTGGGATACTTGCGGGGCCGGATGGGCTTGAGCGTGAGCGGCGGCTGGGGCAGGCTGCCAAAGCCCGGGTGGATCTGCTTGTCTTTGAACGCCTTGATGGTCTCCAGAGGGGTAATAGGGGGCGGGTTGACCCGGATGGGGTCCATGCCCTGAAAGGGCTTGTGCTCCGGAATGGAGCCCATGTCGTTGGGGTGGTGATATAGGTTGTAGTCAGGAATCATGGGGAAGAGATTGCTGTCCAAGGCCGGCTTGGCCGATTGGTAATCCTGGGGGGAATAGGCGAGCCCGGGGTTGCCCTGGGGGTCGTGGAAAGACACAGGCTCCGAGTAGAGATCACTGCAGTTAGAATAGGGGGGCAGCGCCGGGTACATGGCCTCCACGTCGCCCTGCGGCGGCTGCACCATGCTGGCGGTGGAGGTCTGCGTGCTGAGTGCCCCTGAGGCCGGGGGCACCCCCAAGATGCCGGCGCTCATGAGGCTAATGATGTTGTCCTGACACCAGTTGGAAGGGGAGTCGAAGGCGAACTTTCCCAAGTAGGTCACGGTCTTGTTGCCGGGGGCTGGCTGGAAGGAGCCCGAATAAGAGAGTTCCGGGTTGGGCTTCTCGTTGGTCAGACCGATGTCCATCACATTCTCTGCGGAGAGCGGGGAAGAGAGGGGAGGGGTGAGTGAAGCCGAGCCGGCTCCCGGGCCGGGGCGCCCAGGTCCTTGCCCAGGTGCAGAGGGTGCGGCCGGGTGGAGTGAGCAGCGCACGGGGTAGGAGGAAAGCTGCGCCCCGGCGCAAAGCGGGCGGTGCCGCGCTCCCGGGCGCAACCTGGATACAGCAAAATACTACGGATCGGGGTGTGGAGTGGCTGCTGCACACACACCGCACACGCCGCGCACACACTCACGTATCACACGCACACACGCGCGCGCGCGAGAAGCATTGTTGTTGTTTCCGAGGTGGGGCGGGCAGGTAGCAGCAGCTACAGGTAGTTTCAGACCCGGAGCGCGCCGGGCTCTCGCTCTCCAGCGCACACAACTCGGCCTCTTCCCCTAGCCCTGTCCGCGCCGGGACGCCGCGCCTTTCCTGCCCCGACGAAGCCCCCCGTGCGCACCGCGCCCGGGTCGCTGACCCGGAGCGCTCCGACGCTTTGTCCTCTGCGCGTAGAGGGGTTCTGACCGCCAAGGGAGCTCTCCCGCCGCCTTCCCGGGCCCCAGCCTTCTCCAGGCCTGAAGGAGCTTTCGGCTCTTGCTGGAGGGGGAAAGCCCAGCCTCAGCTAGCGAGGGTGGAGGGCGGCGGAAAACCGGCCCGTGTCTCCATGGCGGGAGTGGCTCCTCTCCTCCAGCTCCACGGCTGGGGGATCGCCCCCCGAGGCGGCCCCCGCGCCGGTGGACCCCCTCCCTCTCCCCGCCGTCCCCACACCCCCACGGCTTTGCTGAACGCCCCGGAAAGGCAGCGTCGCAGTACCTCTCCCACCGCGGGGACTCCACGCCGCACATGGCTCCATCCCGGGTGGGAGGCTGAGGGAGTAAGGGGGGGAGAGCGCGGGTGAAAGGGACGCTGGGCTCCTCCCGGGAAAGGGGGCGACAGCACCACGCCTTGCGCGCAGCCTGGCGATCGCGCCCCCTAAGTGGAGAACCCCAGAGCCGCTCGCTCGTACCTACCTCCCTCTGGTCGGCGGCTGCCCCCACCCGGGAGAACCGAAGCCTCTACCGTGGCGTCGCCAACCGAGCCTTCCCGATCGGGGAGGGCGGGAGGAGTGGGTGGGAAAAGCAACTCGCCCCCCGGAAAATTTCCAGCGCGCCCCCCATTTCTCCATCCATCCATCCATCTCTCCATCCATCCATCTCTCCATCCATCCATCCAGCCAGCCATCTATCCATCCATCGCTAGCTCGTTCCCTCCTCCTCTTCCTCTCTCTCCCTTTCCTTCCTCGCAGCCTCGCCGCCTCCCCGCCGCCCTTACCTGTAGCCATCTGATTGTAATGGGCTACCGAGTCGCTGCTGCCGGAGAAGAGGTTGAGCGCGCTGGGGATCTCCTCGGGGTACAGATTGTCAGGCAGTTGGTTTAGCAAACTGCTCATGGTCACCGGCAGCTTCTCGGCGAGTTTGCCGGTCATAGCACTCCCGAGCTGCCGCCGCCGCCACCGCCGCCACCGCCGCCGCTCGCTCCTAACGCAGCTTCCAGGCAAGCGGCATCCGAGAGGCGATCCGTGGTGCAGGGGAAAAGCATGCGAGAGGGAAAGTTCGGGGGGAGGGGGAGGGAAGAGGGGAAGGGGTGGGCCAGGGGAGGGGATCTTCTCTTTTTTGGGGTGGGTGGGAGAGAGGGCAAAGGGGAGGTAATCCTCTTGGGTGCCTCAGCTGGTGCCGTAAGAGGCTGGGGGGGGCGTGTGCGGGGGGGTGGTGGGGGGCCTGGGCTGGGGGAACCTCGGTCCGAGGGGGTTGGACGCGGCCTCAGTATTGATCTCACAAACAGATGCGCGCCGGCGGCCCCCCCGCCCCCCGATCCGCCACCGCCACCGCCGCCACTGCCGCCGCCGCCGCCTCTGCCGCTGCCGCTGCCGCTGCTACCACCACCACCAGCCCCGCCGCTTCCTAGCAAGCTCACTGCTGCCCAAAAGCTCCCAGCCAGGGAACTCCACCAGCCTATTTATCTGAGCCCCGGGAAAGCTCCGTGACGTAGCTGCCCATATATGGACAGACAAAGCCCAGCCGAAGGGGCGCGACGTCACAATGGAAGCTCCTCACAATGGAACATTAGAAAGCAGGAAGCGGGCCGCAGCCAACATGCGGCGCCCGCAATGCTCGCAGATCTTAAAAAAAAGAGAGAAAGAGAGAAATGAAAGAGACGAAAGAAGGAAAATTCGAGAGGAGAGAGGAAAGAGGGAAGCAACTGAACGCAACGCGTAAAGCGCGCAGCGCGGAGTTGAAAAAGCAATAACCTCCTGTGTGTTTATTTTTGGTCCGCACAACCAGAGCGCGCTTGTGTGGCGGGGGGCAGGGGGCCGGAGTTCTTTGCGAGTGGCCGCCAACACCCCAAGCAGGGAGAAAGGGAATTGGAAACCCTCGGCGAGGTCCCTTTGCAACCTGGGAACTTCTGGGGAACCCGGAAGGCGTGCGCTCCGACCCCGCTCCCGCCGCTGCCCTCGCGTCTAAGACCCTGTCTGAGCCTGGGGAGAAAGGGAGCGCGTCCCTTCGAGGAGGAGCCCTGCGTGTCAGGGACCGCGGGTCCAGGATCCCCACCCCTCCCTCTGACTCTCCGCCCACACCCCCGCTGCTCCCCCGGCCGCTGACCCGGCGCTGACTCCCTGCTGAGCGCAGTGGCCCGGAGCCTCGTAGCTGCAGCGCGGCTGCGCGGGAGGCGAGCACCCCGCACTTTTGGGGGTCGAGGATGTGCGGTCTGGGTGGTAAGGAAGTAGGAATAAAGTTGAGGGGATAGGGGACGCGTGCACCAAAGCCCTGAGAATTCCCTAACGGTTCCAAAGCACCCCCTTTGGCCACGGGATGGCAGGAGGGCCCAGCAGGCCCAGGCGCAGTCGCTGTCTGTGGCTGCCTGCGAAGGGCCCGCCACGGAGTTGCAGCAGGAGCGTGCCGAACCCACAGTCTCCGAGCCACCTCCTCTAGTCCCTCCCCTCCCCCTGGCTTCCACAGGGCTGTCCCCATCGCTGCCTGCCGGCGCCCTGCAGTCAGGGGCCTCCCGGTTGCCGACCGGGACGCTGTCACCTCCCGGAGCCTCAGCAGATCCCGGGGGCGGCTGCTGCGTTCCCCGAGGCCCGCTCCGGGAGCGCGCGCGGCCGGGCCGCGGGAGAGCCGGAGCAGAGAAAGGGAGCGTGGGGGAGCGACCCCGAATCACACCGGCACCGGCACCGGCTTGGCGTGGGAGGATTCCCTCCTCGGTGGCCGCGTGGGCGCGGTGAATCCCGCGTCCCCCCCCTTCCCCACGCTGGGGAGTCGGGGTTGGGGGAACGTGCATTTCTCAGGGGGAGTGGGAGTGTTGACAAGGAGGAAGAGAGGATCCCCGGGCCTCACTCCGTGGGAGGGCCACGCGGGCCGGGGACGTGTGGGAGGAACTCCCGAGCTGCACATCGTGGTGGGGGTGGATGACAACCTCGCTCCCCTCCCCTCCGCGCGGCGGAGAACTGGGGGTGGGAGGGTCCGGCCTCCCCCGGATCTTCTCTGGTTCTTGGTAAAGGAGGGATTCCCGCCGCCCGCGAGCCCCCTCTCCCCACCCCTGCTGCCGCTCCCGCCAGGCTCCCCACACCTATCCAGGGGAGGCGCTGCGCCCCCGGGCTCTCCTCCGCCCGCGCGGCGCGGGGAGGGAGCGCTCTGCAGCGGTCCCCGGCTCCGGCCGGAATCAGGGCATGCAGCGCCTCCCGCCCCCGGCTCCCTCCCTAGGGGGGCGAGCGGCCGGCCCGGGGGCGTGGGCGGCAGTGTGAGCCCGGCTGGGCGCGGGAGGGGCCCCGGCGGCTGCAGGGAGGGTCGCGGGGCGGCGGGCCAAGCCGGGAAGAGCCATACAAGGAGCGGATCCGGTGACGCGCCGGCCGCGCCCCTTCTCCTCGATTTGGCTGCTGATTCCGGTCCCCGGATTTGCATATTTTGGCATCCAGTGGAAAAGGAAAGAAGAACGGAACCCGCAGCCTTTAAAGGAACCGCACAGACTCTAGCGTCACCTAGGGAGGCGGTCTGGGGGGCGTGAAAAATTAGCCAGCGGCTCTGGCCTCTGGCCGCGGAGCGCGGCAGCCTGGGAGCAGCGGCGAGCGGCGGTGACTAGCGAGGCCCGCCCGCACCTGGCCCCTCCACTGCGCTTCCTGCGGCGCGGGCACCCGGAGGCGGCGGGGGTCTCGGCGGGTTCCCGCCCGGGGCCAAGGGACGCCGCCGGGGCGGCGCGGCCTTGCGCGAGCGGCAGGCCACGGTAGTGACTGCAGTGGCCTTGTTTCCCCGCGCGAGGCAGAGCTCAGCCTTTCGGGGGTAGCGGGAAGGAAGCGGGAGACCTTCGGGCGGCCCAGCTCCAGTCCGGAGGACCCTGCCGTGATGCACCCCCTCCCCATAGGCCCAGACCTCTCCCCAGGAGAGGAGAGTGAGGAGCTGGAAACCCCAGTCCTGTTATATAGGGGCCCGCGTTAGGAAAGGCAGAGGCAGTGGGCGAATTTGGGATCCTTGAAGGCTTCCAGGACCCCAGAGACTGTGGAGGAGTGTAGCCCCTCCCGAGAGGGGCCCCCAAACACTTTTAGGCTAGCTGCACTTGTTGCATGGAAGAGAGGAGCAAGTAGCAGACCTCCGAGGCCTGCTCCACCGCCTGCTTACTTGTTGGTGAGACTGGATAAGAGGCTTTGGGGGCAAATTGCCTGATTGCCTGCCACCTGCTTCCTCCTAGTTCTTGACAAAGAATGGGAGCCTTCAGTTCAATTAAATAAGCATTCATTAAAACTTCAGTGTGACCTGGGGCAAATTTCTGAATTTCTTTCTTAGCCTCAGTTTCCTTATTTGTAAATTGGGATAATAATAGTACTTATGCCTTAGGAAGCTTTAAATGAAGTAATCCTCATAGAGTACTTATGCCAGCCCCCTTGAAGGTATCCCGGAAAGGGCAGTTAATACTGGTCAACTATACTCTCCCCTACTCTACCGGGTATCTTAAGGGTGCGTGTAAGTGATGCAGGGAGTACCGAGGGCCAGATATCCCCTATCCATGTGATCATATATACAAAAAGCATTGGGGTTTATTTTTTAGGGGAGAAAGAATGTCCTGTTCGTGCACCAGGTACCTGCTGGGCACTGTGCCAAGGTTAAAGAAATGTCCTCATCTGCAGGAGCACCAGCCCCCAGCGCTGGGGGTGACATAAGACAGGGTACAGAGAAGTTACTCGTTTGCACTTCAAGACTCTGGCACATCCTTCTAGACTTTTTGGAGGGTGGCTCTGGCTCCTGGGGTGAGGTGGGGGGACTCATGCCTTTCCGTCCCTCCTCTGCCAGGGAAGGAGTCCTGTCGTGGAAAGGCTGCCTCTGTAAGCAGGGGTCGTTCTTGCCTGACTTATCTTCAGGTAGGAGCCCCCACAGGTGTCCCCTGTTAGCCTGGATGATGGTGGCAGATGGAGGCCAGGGTTCTGTGGCAGGTGGGGACAAGCCTGGGTATGAAGTGGGTGTGGGGTGTTTGGAGTGGCTGCTTATAGACTAATAGCCTTCTCCCTTCTGGTCGCCAAGCCTTGCATCCAGCAGAGAAAAAATTTTTTCCTCCTTTCCTCCCCCCTTCTCTCCTCTCTCTCTCCTGAGCAGGGGCCGAGGGCAATTGTCTCAGGTTTATTGGCGGGCTCAGGTGAGAATGCCAAGGGCCTAATTACCTGAACTCCAAGCCCCGGACTTGTTGGGGAGCGAGTAGGCACTGGTTCAGGGCGTCCTGGGCCTGGAGATGGTGAAAGGCAGGCCCGGCCCCTCTGCACTAGGGCCAAGGCCGCCCAGCCCCTGGTTGCTCTCTCCCACCAAGCCCAGCTCCCTTGCCAGCTGCATTTGTGGGTACAGCTGCCACGTATGGGGGCAATAGGTACGTTTGTCTTGATGGAAAGATGAAGGAAGGTGTCCATGTGGCCCTAGGAATTCAGGCCCAAGAGAGGCCAGGTGGTTGCTCTGTCTTGCTCCTTAGTTCTGCAGTCACCTCCAAACTTTAGCTCCCCTTCTGCTAAACATATCCAGTCTTTCTCTGCAATCTTACAAGAGCCCCTCCCCCCAATTAATTCAATCTGGGGTGTTAGCAATTATAGCACTGCTCTTCTCAGAGGCAATCTGCATTTTCAAAGAAAATGCTTAGAGAGGGTAGGAAATCACCCAAAGGAATGAAGCCCTGTGCTTAGCATGATCTCTGGAAATGGTAGGTGCTCATTAATACTGGTGGAATGAGGTGACTGGGGGTAGCAGGCCCAGGGACAAGCAGCGGGAGGGCCGGCCTGCAGAGTGGGCTCCTCACATCATTCCAGGCACCAATGTGGGTACAGGGCCCACCCTGGCGGTATTTCTCTGGATTGACACTTGTCTTAATGCAGTTGCTTTCCATCTTGGGGTGCCCCACAGGATGTGCACAGGGGACAGACAGGTCACTGAAGGAATCTCCCTGGTCATCTTTCGCTGGTATTCTAGAGGTCATTGCTATTTGTTCAATGACAACAGCCAGCTGAGGCCAGGTGGGTTTGGCCTAGAAGCTTTTGGAGGGGAAATAATGTTGGTACCCATGAAGACTTTTGAAGGGGGTGCTCCTCCCGAAGCCACAGAACATGTGGCCATAGGAGCCCTGTGGCCGTACTTCATTGCTTCATTGTCCTCATTCTTCACAACAATCCAGTGAAAAAGTTTTTAGGGCTGCCCCCTTAACATTTTGCTTTTTCAAAAAATGGAAAGTGTCCGAATTGTTCATTGGAGGATACCCAGCCAGGAGGCGGCTGAGCTGCCATTTGAACTCAAGGCCTTGTGACTCCAAGCTGCTGCTCTTCGTCCCCACCTTTGTCTCCTCATGGCAGCCAGAGAAAGAAATAAGCGGCAGAGCTGAGTAATAGGACAGATAGGTATAGCACTTGTGGAGAAGGTGGTGGGTAGAAGAAACTTTCATTGGAATGTTGCCTCCCAGCAGCTACTTCGACCCAGCATGTGGTGGGGGAGGAGCCCCTGCCCAGGGGACAGTTGGAGGCTACCCACTCAGGGGGGGTGGGGGTGGGTGGGCAGCGTTTCAGCGGGGCTCTCAGTAGGTGGAATGGTCACTGTGCCTCTGAGCTCAGGTCCCATGACCATGTCACATCAGCCATGTACTTCCATTTTATTTTATTTTATTTTATTTTATTTTTTTAAAAAAGATTTTATTTATATATTCATGAGAGACACAGAGAGAGAGAGGCAGAGACATAGAGCGAGAAGCAGGCTCCCCACAAGGAGCCCGATG